AGAAGAAGGTGCACCTGGACCAGTCCTGGACCAGTTCTTCTGTGTTTGTCTGTGTCTCTTTCCTGTCCCTCATCCAGCCGGTCAAGGCAGATGGTCTCCTGTCCTGAGCCTGGTTCTGCTGGAGCTTTCTTCCTGATTAGCAGGGAGATTTTCCTCTCCACCGTTTGCTCAGGATGGGAGACTGTGATGAAGTGATTCAACACAATCTGCTGCTTTCTTCTTTAGATTATTCTTTTTATGTACAGTGATCTGAGACAACGTACGTTGTGACTTGGCGTTGTATAAATAAATAAACTTGAAACTTGAACTAGATGCTAAATTTTAAAGTAAAGAAGTAAAAGTATCAATTTTAGGTTTTAAATGTATCAAAATAAAAGTAAAAGTTACGGTTTAAAAAAATACTTGGTAAAATTACAAACCCTGAAAAAAAAACTACTTAAGCACTGTAACAAAGTAAATGTACTTATTTACTATCAGTGGTGGGCACAGTTCCCCTAAAGCACTAATAGGGGAACTAATTTCCTGATTAGGGCTTTAGGGCTTTTTCTATTTTTAAATTTATTAGTGGATTAGCACTTGTTAAATTTATGGGCTAAATTTAGAAGCACTAACTGAGGTCTTTAAATGTTATTGATCAACATTATTGTTGACAGTTGAGGGTGAAAGCTGCCACAGTTTGTTCATATGCATGTTGCTTATCTACTACAAGGTCATGTGTCAAACTGAAGGCCCACGGGCCAAATGTGGCCTGTAGGTAACTCCCATTTGGCCCAGCAAGGACACTAAGTGAAAACATTCTGCACACATTAAATATTGTCTCAGATTGACTCTGAAGAATGTTTCAGGTGTTAGTGCTTTAGAATTAAGGGACCTAAATATTTGAGTTAATGCTTTAGGGTTAATGCAGCTAATATTTAGACTAGTGCTGCCCACCACTGGTTACTATAAACCTCTGGTTTTTAAGGTTAGTTTTCTGTGGCGGCCATCTTGAATCGAGCTGATTCCTGAATGTAATCAACTTATAGACGATGGAAAATTAGGGACGCACTGATGTGAAAATTTCAGCCGATATCGATATCTGATATAATTATTGTTGTTTTGGCCGATATTTACCGATGTTACACAAACACACAAATTATATTAAACAAATACGCACAAACAGACTTGGGTCTTATTTTGATACTGTAAATAAACAACCAGAGCGCTGACATGTCTCTACTTCAATTATTCCTGGCTGCAGCATCAACATCATCCTGATCAAACAGATGCTGCTCAACCAACCAGCTCCCAAAACAGAAACTAAAGATAAAAACGTGGGAAATCAATATCAGACGTTAATATCGACCCAGTTTTACATATCAGACCGATATGATGTGCTAAAAAATGACTATCGGCCGATACAGATATTAATACTGATATGTCCTGCATCCCTAAATAATGACTTTTGAAGAGTTTCATTCAAATTTGTCTCTGCTGTAGTTTGACTGTTCCCAGACTGCAGATAATTAGTCATTAAATAAACAGATTGGCTCAAACCAGTTCTGATTCTGTCTTTTTTTTACAAGTTGTTTGAAAAGCTTCTTCTTCTCAAGCTGTTTTCTTCAGCCCGAGAGGTGCTTTCATCACTTGTTGCTGTAGAAACAAACTTATTTCATTTATTCATTTTTTTTATTTTAAAGCTCAGTTTTTCATGTTTGGAGAAATTCGAGCATTTCTGTGTAAATCTTCACAGGATGACAATAAATGATGATTCACACATTCTGTTTTATTTGTTCGTACAATCAGATGTGTTTAGGTGGGGGTAACCACGACAGTTACCATAGCGACCGCGCTGCAAATCTTTCATTGTCAAGGCTTTGTAGTTCAGCATACCAACACACACTAACACATACCAACACACACTAACACATACCAACACACACTAACACATACCAACACACACTAACACATACCAACACACAC